CCAAAATCACGGAATTGAACTACATATCTCTTGCCGAGGAACTCCGGAGCAAAATGGAGTTGCAGAACGTAAACACCGACACATTGTCGAGACAAGCTTAACTATGTTATTTCACGCTAATTTGCCTTTGACGCTTTGGGTTGATGTTTTTCTCTCGGCAGTGTATCTTATTAACCGATTACCATCTTCGGTATTGCATAATGATTCTCCATATCATAAACATCATAAGCGACATCCTGACTACAGAGGTTTGCGAGTTATTGGCTGCAAATGTTTTCCATCTTTGCGATACCAAGGCGGAAATAAGTTCTTGAAAAAGACATATCCCTGTGTCTTCATCGGTTATAGCCCTATGCATAAAGGCTATCGGTGCTTGGAGCCTAGAACAAAAAGAGTTTATATTTCAAGACCTGTGGTTTTCGACGAAGGAGTTTTTCCATATAAGATCTCAACCACCTTTGCACCAACATCTACCGAATTGTCCTTCTCTGAGTTCCCTTGTATTAATGAATCAAGTGATTTAAAAGGCGGAAATCTCTCTATTTCCAATTCCCCCTCAGATCCGGAGATCTTGACCGAGTTAAATAAGAAACATTCTACATTTTTTTAATCATTTCTGTAACACCCCGCATTTTCGGTAAAATAATTTTACCACCTTTATGTGCATATTTGCCAAATTAAAATTTATAATAATTCTTGCATTGTTAGTATTTAGGTGAATTAGGTAATTATGTGAAATATATGAATTATGTGATTATGTGAATTATGTGATTATGTGAATTATGTGATTGTGTGCATTATGTGATTATGTGAATTATGTGATTATGTGAATTATGTGCTTAGGACATATTTCGAGACATTATTTCGAAATAAATTATTTTCGTGAATTAGGATTTTATTCTTGCATGTGATTTTAAATGAGCATTTCATCATATTTATACATGCACAAAATTTTAGAAAATAAATTTTCTCATGCATTTTAGGATTTTTAACTAATGTCGAAAATTAGAAAATCCTTCCCACATTTTCTTGAATTTTCGGACATCACACACACACACAGACACATGATTTTTAAATTTCATATTAATTAGTATTAGACATGCATTTGTGTGGTTGTACTTTGAGCATAGAAAGAAATACCTAAAAGCTAGCCCCCTACTCTATAGCCTAGGTATACTTTTCCACTCCCACACACCACTTTAAGGCCAAAAGTCCTCCTTTCTTCTTCCCTTCCCCTTCATTTTTCGGCAGCCACCACCACCACCATAGCCACCACCTTCTCAAGCTTGAACCACCCTAGAACCACCACCACCTCATACTTTCGAAAATTGCAAAATCACCCCCACAAAAAGATGTATTTCCCTTTCTTCTCCATTGGCTTTGAACTCTCCAAAAACTCTATAAATACCTCCAATGCCCAAGATCAAAATACACTCTCCACTTCCAATCTCACTACCTATAAGTTTAAAGTCTCCTTCTATTTCAACAAGAGGAGAATTTTCGGCCAAGCTTAGGAGTAAGCTTCTCCTCCCTCTTCTTCCTTCTTCTTTTCCGAAAGAGCAAAGCTCTTCTTACTCCAAGTTCTTTTGCTTTTCTTTTTATTTTCTTAAAGCCTAATCTAACTCTTAATCTCTTCTTGTATTAGAGAGAAAAGAGCTAACAAATCCTTCCCCTAAAGAGTATAGGTGAGAATTCTTGAATTCTTGCTCAAACCTACAACACCACTAGTATTTTCGGTTATTATGTGTTTTTATGTGTTCTATTTGTTTATTCTTGCATATTATGTGATTATATGTTTTAGATGATCATTGCATGTTAGTATTTTGAAAAGATAACTTTGTTCTAGAAGTTCTATGATTTTTCGAAAATTTGGGGAAAAATGGTTTAAATGGCTTATTTGGCTTAATTAGTGCCTTGCATGTGTTGATCTAGTGTTTGATTGTTGATTTTTGAAAAGAAAATGAATTTTTGGCCTAGCCATGAAACTTTCGAAAATTTGGGGAAAAATGTTTTAAATGGCTTATGTGGTTTATTTTGTGTTTTGAATGTGTTGATCTTGTGTTGATTGCTGTTTTAAGGCCTTGCATGTAAGATTGGTGATTGATTGTTGATCTAAGGTCTTGCATGTTAACATCTAGTGATTGATGGTTAATGTAAAGTCTTGCATGTTAAGATCTAGTGTTTTCTATGTAAAATGATTGAAGGACTAAGGATTTGTGCTAATTTGATTTAAAATACTCTTGCATGTAAGGATCTAGTGTATTTGCTTGAATAAATGTAAAGATGGAAGTTTTGAATTTTATTCTCGCAAAAATGCTAGATCTAGTGAACTTTGATGTTAGATTGTCTTTGCATAGTAAGATTTCGGTTACTTTAATGTTTTTATGGCTAAATGATTTTTGTGAAATTTTATGTGTAATCTCTATGTGCTCTTGCTTGGTTATGTGAATCATTGGGTGTAAGGATGAGAGAAGGGTAAGTAGAAGGGTGCCTGGGTGTGTGCATTAGAGTCATGAATTTTAAAATGATAAAACTATGTTGGAAAGTCTTTCGAGGTTACGGTAAATTTCCCGGGTACGGCGAGTTGGTACCGTAGGGCCTAGGGGTGGTTTCATCCCACGTAGATAGACATGATTCGATATATATGTGAGGTTATTTACCGGTAATTTTGATTGACTCTTCCGAGGGATTCCCGAAAATTTTTCATGTCATGCATGTTGCATTATGGTGTTGATGATATAGGTGGGAAAATCTCACTCTATGGTCTTGGGATCGTAGGGTTATAAAGGTGGGAAATTCCTTCTAAAATCTTCAATACGTGTCATGGCATAGGGTTATAAAGGTGGGATATTCTCACTCTATGGTCTTGGGATCATAGGGTTATAAAAGTGGGGATTATCTCACTCTATGCGTGTGGCAATTATGTGAATGAAGAACGCCGACGAAAAAGGGAAGTATATGATTGTTTTACTTTATGTTGCATGTTCATGTATAAGATATATGTATGTATATATATGTATAAATATATGTATGCTCTATGTGCTATGTGTATTCGATATTACTTCAAGATTCTCATTGAGTCCTCAAAGACTCATATAGGTGTTGTATGTTTGTAGGTATACCCGATTTAGGGCCCGAGGAGTGAAGTTGGGAATCGAGCTCGAGAATCGGAAGGAGATCGTATGGAGGGGACGTGGATAGTGTTGGCTCTTAATTTAGTTATGTGGTTTTATTTGTATAATATGCTTGTAAAAACTTCTGATACGGTTTTAGGTATTTTCTACCGTTCGCTTCCTCCGATCGGTGGGGATTATTAGGAGACGATATGTATAATAGTAATTAGGATTACCCTATTTTGGATAATTAATCGGTAATCTGTAGCCTTTTGTAAACGAAAGCAAATTTTCACTATTTATATGCATGCATGCTTTCGGCTAGTAATTTCTTCGTGTTTTGTCTCCATGTTCTAATATTATTTTCATATAGGTGTTCTGCTTAGAAAATCATGAAATTTTAGGCGTCTTTGCATCTCTCTGTTCTCATCATATTGATAGGTCCTTTACATGATTTGGGTAAGTACTCATTTAGTTATGATTTATTTCTCACTACTGCATTGAAACAGGGTTATTCGGGTGTTTTCTGGTTGTTGAATGACCATCTCAACCAAAAGCTTAAGTTGTTAGTGAAATGTATCATTTAATATTAATATCTCCAATACGCCCCCTCAAGTGCAGGCGAATTACATTTGAAGCCTTGCACTTCAAAATATTTTTAAATGGGTGGCTGTGGGATTCGAACTCAGGACCTTTCATTTGGCCTGGCTCTGATACCATGTTGAATGACCATCTCAACCAAAAGCTTAAGCTAATAGTGAAATGTATCATTTAATATTAATATCTCAAATATGCCCCCTCAAGTGTAGGCGAATTACATTTGAAGCCTTGCACTTGAAAATATTTTGAAATGGGTGGCTGTGGGATTCGAACTCAGGACCTTTTATTTGGCCTGGCTCTGATACCATGTTGAATGACCATCTCAACCAAAAGCTTAAGCTAATAGTGAAATGTATCATTTAATATTAATATCTCCAATACGCCCCCTCAAGTGTAGGCGAATTACATTTGAAGCCTTGCACTTGAAATATTTTTAAATGGGTGGCTGTGGGATTCGAACTCAGGACCTTTCATTTGGCATGGCTCTGATACCATATTGAATGACCATCTCAACCAAAAGCTTAAGCTAATAGTGAAATGTAGCATTTAATATTAATATCTCCAATACTGGTCTAACTGGAATTTTACTCACTCAAATGCTATTTTTCCACTTGGAAAATGTTTTCAACTTATTTTTATTCTTTGGGGTAAAATTTGGTAGTTTTTGGGTCAGTGAGGAATTTATTATGAATTTTCAAAACCCCCTCCCATGTTCTGGATTTTAAACTGAGTGACTGTGCCATTTTATTTATTTCTCCTAAATGGCCATGCATCTTTCAAAACTATTTTAACTGAGTGATCTAGACCCGTGTTAGATTGTATGGTATTAATTTGGGGTTATTTGCATGAGTAGTTTAAGAGGAAATAATTTTTAAAGCTTCTGCATTGAAGCTGTCCACACTTGCATTAAGTCCATTATGTCTAGTTGTTTCCTAGGCTTGCATGTAGCATGCATTGGTGTTAATTGATCAATTAGGGTTTAGTAAGCTGTGCCCTCTCTCCCTCTGATTTAAAAAAAAAATAAAAAAATTTACGTAAATTTATATCCACAAAAAAAAAATCATGTTTAAAAAAAAGTCTTCCTCTGAGATTACATATAATAAGAGTAATCGAGAGAGGGGTGTCACAGCAGACGTGGTATCAGAGCAACGATCCCGGAAACCTCCATACGACCTAAAGATCTTCACGATTCTCAAAGCACGACTCCAACTGAACACTCGGGCAGGTATGTGTTTTATGTGAATTTTATGGCTAATGTGAATTGTTTGTATATGTTTAAGTATTAAAATGTCTGGAGCAAGAACTCGAGCTCAAAATGCCGCTAACGATCCTCACAATCAATCTCGTACCATCCAAGACCTCACCGCCCTCGTCCGAGAACAAAATGAACAAATCAACCGCCTTGTTAACCTTCAAAACCAAAACCCTCCTCCACCTCCTCCTCCTCCTCCCCAACCTAGAAATACAGCCCCACAAGCCACCTACGAGCGATTCTTGAAAATGCATCCTACCGAATTCCACGGCGGCCCAAGTCCAACTGTTGCCGAAGAGTGGATCAAATCCCTCGAAGTTATTTTCGAATACATGGTGATGAACGACAATGACCGAAACCATTGCGCACTGTTCTTGTTGAAAAACGAAGCCCCAAATTGGTGGGAAGGCGCAAAGAGTGGAATCAATCTAGCCAATACCACTTGGGAAGCTTTCAAAGTTCTTTTCTTCGAAAAGTACTTTTCCAAGAATGTTCGAGCGCAAAAGCATAAGGAGTTTCTCGAACTCAAGCAAGGAAACCTAACTGTTGCCGAATTCACACGCCGTTTCGAGCAAGGAAGCCTCTACGCACCTTTCATAACCAATGACGACACCGAAAGGATGAATCACTACCTCAGAGGCCTCAACCCGATAATCAAGCGCGACGTTCGACTAACCTCTGCCTCTACATTCCACGGAGTAGTGGACAAAGCCTTGGGATTTTATTCTTGCATGTGATTTTAAATGAGCATTTCATCATATTTTCGTGAATTAGGATATTATTCTTGCATGTGATTTTAAATGAGCATTTCATCATATTTATACATGCACAAAATTTAAGAAAATAAATTTTCTCATGCATTTTAGGATTTTTAACTAATGTCGAAAATTAGAAAATCCTCCCCACATTTTCTTGAATTTTCGGACATCACACACACACACACATGATTTTTAAATTGCATATTAATTAGTATTAGACATGCATTGGTGTGGTTGTACTTTGCGCATAGAAAGAAATACCTAAAAGCTAGCCCCCTACTCTATAGCCTAGGTATACTTTTCCACTCCCACACACCACTTTGTGATAAAAATTGTAATGCAGGTGTCTCTTCAAATATTGATCTACCGGAGCAGAATGAACCTACCAATGAGGATAATAATCCCACAAATCATGGAGAAATAGCTCGTGGCATTATGCCATCACAAGTGGAATGTATCATTGGAAATACTTGTCGCGAAACTTCTGGCGAACCCTCCGGAGGAACTTTCGGTGGAAATTCCACTGACAAAGATATGAACAATGTTCATCAATCATTGGAGGAACAAGCTATGGAACCAATCACATTAGAAGAAAATTCGATCATCCATACCTACAAGAATTCGACAAGTACCAGCACACTTGAAAGATTATGCACTTGCAAGAACTACTTCTCCTTTTGAACCCAAAACTCTGAAGACAGCATTAAAGGTTGCAAATTGGGTACTTGCTATGAAAGAAGAACTTCAAGCTCTTCAAAAAAATCAGACCTGGACACTTGTGCCTCGTCCTCCAGAGACAAATGTGGTTAGTTCAAAATGGGTCTATCGTATTAAGTACAAAGAGGATGGCAACATTGAGCGCTTCAAGGCTCGATTAGTTGCACGAGGTTTCACCCAAGTTTCTGGCCTTGATTATGATGAGACTTTCAGTCCAGTTGTGAAGTCGGCAACAATTCGTTTGGTAATAGCTCTCTTGATTTCGCTGAAGTGGCATATGCGTCAATTAGACGTTAAGAACGCTTTCCTGCATGGCCACTTAATGGAAACTGTTTACATGGAGCAGCCCCCGGGATTCATCAATCATAGCTATCCTGATCATGAATGTCTTCTTAAGAGATCCTTATATGGTCTTAAGCAAGCGCCGCGTACTTGGTTTGATCGACTCTCCCAATTTCTCCTTCACCTTGGTTTTTATTGTAGCAAGGCAGATTCGTCACTTTTCATCTACCGCACCAACCCTATTACTGCCATTCTCCTTATTTATGTCGATGATATTCTCGTTGTTGGTAATTATGATTCTTTTATTACGAACCTGATCAATCCTCACCTCGGTAACGAGTTTGCCATTAAGGATCTTGGCTCACTTCGATATTTTCTTGGAGTAGAAATAAAATAATTTGCTGGTGGAGTTCATTTGTCCCAAACAAAATATATTCAAAACCTACTTACTCGTACAAAAATGATTGAAATCACTCCCATGTCTATACCAATGGTTCAAAAGGAAAAATCATCAGCTTCAGACATGAATCTGTTTGATCCAATTGAATTTCAAAGCATTGTTGGTGCCCTCCAATATCTGACCTTCACTCGCCCTGACATTATTTACTCCGTAAATTATGTATGTCAGTTCTTCAATGCTCCGACACAAATTCATTTGAAGGCAGTGAAACGAATACTTAGGTATTTAAAGGGAACTTCACATTTTGGATTATCCTACCTTACTCAAAGCCCTCTATCTCTATACGGGTTTACTGATGCAGATTGGGCCGGTTGCCCAGTTATAAGGAGAAGTACTACTGGTTTTTGCATTTTCTGAGGTGCAAATTGCATATCGTGGTGTTCAAAGAAGCAACCTACAGTTGCTCGTTCCAGTTGTGAAGCCGAATATCGATCCATGGCTTCCACGACTGCGGAAATAACATAGCTGACCTTTCTCCTTCGAGATATTGGTATCCCTCTTCCGCAGCCTCCTCAACTATTTTGCAACAATATCAGCGCTCTTTATTTTGTGGGCAATATGAGACAATATCAGAGCTCTTTATATCCAAGCATATTGAACTTGATTATCATTTTCTTCGGGAAAAGGTGGCCATGGGTACTCTTGTCACTCGATACATCCCTTCTTCGAACCAACCTGCGGATATCTTCACTAAACCTCTTTACAAGCAAGCATTTATCTTCTTTCGGGACAAGCTGGGAGTCCACGCGCGTTACCACTCCAACTTGAAGGGGCGTGTTAAGGATAATAATTGTAACACCCCACATTTTCGAAACCCTAATCCCTAACCAAGGTTCCATAACCCGAAAATTCTCACGTAGAAATCATTACGAATTTCACTAACATAAATTCCTTAAGTGCCTTATATTGCCTATACTAATAATCCTTATATGCCGATTTGATTATATGCCTTATGTGCTAGGAATTCATTGAATAATTATGTGCCAGTTTTATTTCGATAATTATGTGCTGAAGTAGATTAATTATTGATAATTATGTGTTAGGTTAATTTATGTGACTTATGTGAATACATGTGCTATAGTTAATTTTGTGGCATTTTAATTTAATTCTCTAAGTGCCTTATAATACATTATATAATACATGCATGCACATATACATATATAGCTATATGCCTATGCATGCTAGACCTACATAACTGAAATACATATTTAAATATATGTTTGTGTGTTTTCGGATATGTGTGTGTGTGAGAGTTAATTAGTGAATTTCTTAATTAGTAAATAAATTAGGAAAAGATGCATGCTTGTACACTAATCCTACACTCAAGCATGCTAAGTCATCTCAAAAGACCCTCTCATGTCTTCTTCTCTCTCCACCTATACCCCCACTTGTCTTCTCTTCACCATCACCACCGAAGCACCACCTCCTCCATCGGCCAACACCTCAAAATTCTTCAAGAAAAAAATAGAGAAATCAAAATGCAATCGAAGGGTATCATAGTATGGAAAATGATTTTTGAAATTACCTAAAAGATTTCTTCACTTTTCGAAAAATTAGGGCTTTTTGTGTAAAATCCGAAATCTTGTGCTAATCTTGTTATTTGTCTTCTTGCATGTCTAATTCATGTTATAATCTGTGAATCTAAGCATTTTGGAGTTTAAAGGTTTAATATTTCGAATTTTTGGAATTTTGGAAAAAGAAAATGAGTTTTCAAGATTTTTGGGGTTGCATGTGTAGATTCATGATTTTTTAGGACTAATCTGCAATTTCTTGAAATTTCAGCAATGAAAAATGTTTTCATCTTTAAAATCTCAGTAGGAGTAAGTGGAATTTGATTATTTGCTGTTGGCCTTAGTTTTGGATTAATATTTGTTGGGAAAATCATTTTTGGCTTCAACACTACTTGCCGAGTATTTTAATTTTTATAAATCCGATTTTTTAGGAAACTGCAAAATTATTTTTGCATCTGTTCATTTAGTCAGTTAGGCAGCCTATAATTAAATTTGATAGTTTTAGATGCTATTTGCTATTATTTCGAAATATTGCTTGTGCATGTGTCATAAATATAACTTTTGTGTTTTAATCATTATGCCTTATGTATTAATTGTGAGGATGTGAATTGATGGTTAAAAATCTGCAGCTGAACTATGTTAAGGGGCTGTAAAAATTTTAATTCATTAAATGAATAAAAGTGGGAGAAATCCCATAAATGAAAAGATAGAAATGTTGGTGCTTTAAGGGCATGATTTGCTAATTTAATGCTAATTAAAGTGTGTTTTGGGGCTGCATGTTGTGTGTGTGTATGTGTGCCGTGTCTGTGTGTGTGTTTTTGTGTGTGTGTGATTTATACAAATATATAATATGATAATAATGTGAATTATGTGCTATGCTTAAGTGGTTATATATATATGTGTGTGTATGATATGTGTGTGATTGCCGTGTGTATTATGTGGATAATTGGATTTATTTGTATGCTCGTTGATTGATATTTGTGATGTCGTAAAGTGGTCATTTTTAGAGTCTCATTCGTCTCATGGTCTTGCATAAAAAGAAATTTCATTTTTACGAAAGGAAAGGTTAATGGAATGCTTGGGTTGAATAAGTCGGGATACGGGGGGCCGGTATCCCAACCATAGTTACTATAGATAAAGGGGTGGTTTGATCCCACCAAAAGAACGGGCTCAGAATAATATGCTTAATTTTCATTCATGCATTTGCACGAAGTTAAGTTTTCACGGATCCGAACGACAGAAAATATTTTCATTCATGCATTTGCACGAAAAGGGTAAAATGATAAATTTTAGCATTTGAGTCGAAAAAAAGGGTAAATTGGTAATTTTTAGTATTTGCGTTGATTTACGTGCTTAAATGAAATTTCGTGTTTATGTGTGTGTGTTCGTTTGCCGACGAATGGTAAGGTGTGATGCTTATGTGTATATACTAATATAAGTACGTAAAACCATATTTTAAAACCTCGTTATCCATTCGGATTTCTTACTGGGCTTAATAGCTCATATAGATACTTCTTTGATTGCAGGTAGTAGTAGAAATCCCGCATCGGAATGGACCAAGTAGTGGATCGGAGTCTTGGCCGAAGCTTTTGGAGGGTCGTACGAGGGGTCTATAAACTATGCTTATTTTATTTTTGGTGATGTAAACTAAACAATTTCCATATTTTCGTTTTTCCTTAAACTCTAATATTTCCCCGTTAGGGAAATCAGACTCTTATCCTAGTACGGGCCTTATTTTGAAAATAATATAGTTGGTCCGCTTATTTTGATAATTGCATTTCTTACCCGAAAATCTCTATTCACCAAATACCTTAAAACTCTGATTTTTTTCTCGAATCCAAATTAGAACCTATTGTTAGATAAACGTAGCACTCGAATAATAATCTCCCTTTCCCAAGTTATTTTCAAAACGAAAAATTTAAACGACCAAAATCACCCTAAGAAGTTTTCGAAATTCTCAAGGCTTTCAAATGACCCAAAAAAAAAAAAAAAAAGAAAAAAGAAGAGAGATTTTTGTAAATTACATTTTGGTCCTACTCGAAAGTTTTAAAAATTACAAAGAGATCCCTTTGGTCCGATAAACCGGTTCGATTTATCCCCCGACCCGAGGGGGGTGCTACAATAATCCCACAAATCATGGCAACACCACAGACGCAATATAAGGAGTTATGTTATGGAATAAAATCATTATGCAAATTATATTGGTGACATGTTGTATCTTCCCTTCCATTCTTTCCTTAAAATCAGTTGTATTCATTGTATATATATATTCTACATCGATGAATGACATATCATCACCTTCTCTCCTTATTCAAAATCTTCAATTACATCATTGGTTATTTTCAAATCTTACAATTCTTAATTAAAAAGTGTTATAGCAAACATCTGATAATTTTTCAGGTATTCCAAAATGGTTTTTCGAAATTATATTTGAGACAATGGAATATCAAACGGCACGCTAAGTAAACTGCAGAATGATAGCAACTAAAGCAACAACGAAGTGCACAAATAGAAGATTGAATGTACGTACGTACCTCAGCGGATTCATCATGCAAAAGGGAATTTAGTGCTTGTTCGAACTTCGAGTAAAGCATGCACGGCTTCTATCATCATTCAATCGGCACGAGAAAATTAGCATATCTGGAAAATAATGAGGTGGTCATATTAATATTCCATAGATCGTATAATGAGGTGGGGCCCGCCCAGTTCATTGACACTGACGTTTTGTGAAGATCAACTAGGCCGATCATTGAAGCACACTCGTTCCAAATAATAAAATTAATAAAGGACCACTAAATTTCATGTAAAAAAAACTTCTCAGCTAAATTTGGAAGATTAATATTCCCAATTAAAGTCCCACTGGAACTAGTGGGATTGACTAAATTCACCAAGCGCAGATTCTGTTGCAGTTAACAACATTGCTCATGCAAAATTCCGGGATCTGAAATCAGGTACAAATGCGGAATAAATTGTCTTAAACATCCCTATTGCACTGAGAAAAAATCAAAAAAAATAAAAATAGATCTGGCAAATTAAAAGTAATTTATGGAGTATAAATGAAGCAGTGATTTTTACCTACGATGAATTAATTAACGAAATGCAAGCACTAAGTAGCACACTGCAAATTAAAGACTATAGCCTAATCATTCCATTTGCATTTGCAGCAGAAAACTATAAACCAGAGATAAGTAACATTGAATAAAGGAAAAAAAAAATTATATTTTCTGTAACCCTGTCGTAGTATCTAGTATTTATACATTGGAATTAAAAATTACATTTTCATACGTATGTATTGTTGGCCGAAAACCTACACGCAAGTGCACGTATTGTACAAGTAATATAGTGGACTAAAAGTCCGGATATCGAACCCACAGGGAATATTTAATAACCTAATCCTAGACGCTAAATTCTACCAATTATTATCAA